ACATAATTTAATTATCAACAATTATGTTATTTAGTTTTAAAAAATTAGCTTAAAAATTTGGTGTCCCTAAAATCACCTTTGTTTTTTGGGTAAATTACAAAAAACTACATCAATTATGGGTCGAATCACAATCTCATACCTTATGTTTAAAAAATAACAATGTCATACCTCATCTTACAAATTTGTTTCAATATCATACCTTCGTCAGTTTTTCTGTTAATTTTTCTGTTAAATGCTGACGTGGCTTGAGATGGACCTCACTCTCTATTCCAACTAGATAAAAATATTAAAAAATTAAATCATAATTTATTTAAATATTTTTATTTAAAAAATGGGACCCACCCCTACAAACTCATCATCCTCACCAAATTAATCTTTGTAACCAAACACCCACAATCTCTATGCCAATTTCAAACAGAAAACCCCAATTCTCCCCACACCCTAACCCTAAATTTCAAATTGTTAGCCCCAATCACCCCCGCATCAATTTTTACACCACCACTACCATCGCCCACATCCTTCGCTAATAAGCCCTAGCTACTGCCGTGGACCCAAGATGAGACGGTGCAGCTAAGGAAAGTCCAGTAGAACTTGAGTCAGTGGGAAGATTTGGTGGTGACTGTGGCGTCCAGGTGAAGCTACAAGTATGGCGAGCCGTTGAGAGCCTTACGTAGTGCCGCAATAAGATGGAGAAGCTCCTGTAAAGACACCGCGTCATGAAGAAGCGCCTCGGACAGAGAACCAATTTCGGATGGCCCTTTTTCGAGAACCAGAGAACTATCATCCTCACGCCTCACCTTTCTTTTTCCCCAGTTCATTCGTCCCCCCTCCCTGATATTAAACTCCACCCCCTTCACTAAAACCCTAAAGTTAGCCCCCATTTCTCTCTCTAGAAGCCATGTTTATTCTATGTTGCCTTCGCCACGCAGCCCTCACCCGCCACACACGCCACTTCTCCACGGCGGCCGTACTTTCCTAAAAGGACGAAATCTGGGTTTTTGAATTGGGCACCAAGATCCGTTTTTTTTTTTTTTAATTCAGGATTTTGAATTAGGTACCCAAGTGAGATTAGGAATTATGGGTTTTGAATTTGATGATTTTATGCAGTGTTCAGTAATGGTGGTGGGGTTAGGTAAAGATTTGAAAGGATTTGGGGAGAAAGTGCAATTGGAAGAGTGAGTGAAGTGGTTAGGGTTTTTATGAGTTTGGAGGTTTTGAGCGGTGAGGTAGGTGGAGGAAGCATACAATGATGAGTTAGGATGAGAGAGTCTTGAAAGCTTGGAGCTGAATCAGCGTGTGTTCATGGCCACCATCTTTGTTCAACCAAAAATTTACAGAGAGAAAGGACGGAACTGGGGAAGAAGAAGGGTGAGGGTGATGGTAGGGAGGGGGTCCTAATTTTTAATTGAATATTTAAATAAATTTAAGATTTAATTTTTTAATATTTTAATATTTTTATCTAGTTGGATTAGAGAGTATGGCCCACCTCAAGCCACGTTAGCATTTAACAGAAAAATTGACGGAGGTATGACATTGAAACGAATTCGTAAGATGAGGTATAACATTGTCATTTTTTAAACATGAGATATAAGATTGTGGTTTGACCCATAATTTAGGTAGTTTTTTGTAATTTACCCTTATTTTTTTTACCAATTCACAACGAAACAATTCGTCAGTGGACAGAATAGTGCAACCTTTGAACAAGTTGCAAGCACTTACTAGAGGTTGATGGCACTAAGGCTAAAACCCCGTTGTATGAGAGCAACTCTTCTGGTCAACACTTAAAAGTGAAAAGTCTTGTTGCCACCACTGCATTGCTCTTGTTAATACTCAGTACAGAAACCCATGGTGTTACGATGAATCACAAAAAAATGAAAAGCATGAGATTACCTTTCTTTTGATTTTCTCCATTTTTACTCTACCCAGCTTTCTGACCAATACGGAAGCAGATTATCTCTACCACGTCTGTCCAAACACCACCACGTTCACCCTAAACTCCACCTTCCAGTCCAACGCCAACCGCCTCCTCTCCACCCTCTCCTCCAACGCCAACCGCTCCACTGGCTTCTACAACGCCACAGTCCAAACCCCAAACAATGCCGTCTATGGCCTCTTCCTCTGCTGAGGCGAGTTTGTGGGCACCGGCACTTGCGAAACCTGTGTTGCCACCGCAACCGCCGAGGCCCCACAACGCTGCCCCGTAGAAAAAGAGGTGGTGATCTGGTACGACGACTGCATGCTACGCTACTCCAACAAGTCATTCTTTTCCAGGGCGGACGACAAGCCTTACGTGTACATGTGGACCACGCAGAATGCAAGTAGTATAACGGACCAATACCGGTTCAACGAGGTACTGGCAGCTACAGTCACCGAGGTGGCCGCTCAGACTTCCAATAGCAGTCACAAGTTTGCTACGAAAGAAACGACTGTTTCAGGTTTCATTACGCTGTACTGATTTGGGCAGTGCGCGCAGGACCCGTTATCTGGAGATTGCAATTGGTGTCTTCTGGAAGCTGCAACACAAATTCCTAGAAGAAATGCTGGGGGACGAATTCTAAAACCCAGTTGCAATCTTAGGTTTGAAGTTTACCCCTTCTACTCCTCTGCCCCACAGCCGCCAGCCTCCACCAGAGAAGGGCCTAACTAGCCCCAAAAAGATATTAATTGTAATTCAATAACAATTCCAATTTATGGTTTTGTGAACTTTTGGTGCCGCCAGCAAATATTCCACCTCCGGTTCCGGCAGCAAAGACGAGTAACACAAAAGTAATTATCATCACCGTCGTGGTCGTGGTTTTGGTTGCTTTTGTTAGAATTCTCAGCGGCATATGCGTTTCTTCGAGAGTCAAGAAACGAGGGGTACAACTTGAAATTGAAGGTAAGTGCAACGCTTATTGTCACACTATCTCATCTCATGTTGGAACTTTTGCCAATTTAGTTTCCTGAAAACGGTAAGATTAGTTTATCATGAAATAGTTTTCGTTTAATTTATTCAATTCAATGAGTATGCATGGTTATCATTTGCTTGCTACGTTTTTCTGGTCCCTTACATGTAATATTTTGAAACTTACTGTCTTAGCTAAGGATGATACAAAGACTGTTGAGTCCTTCCAATAAGACCTGGGAACTATTGAAACCACCACGAACAAGTTTGCTGATAATACAAGTTAGATAAGGGCGGATTTGGTGTAGTTTTCAAGGTATGAAAATTGAAAAATGATAACATATATATCTACCCTTATTTTGTCTTTGAAATTATTAATTCTTAATGTACAGTGCTCAATTCTTAGAATCTCGGGTTCAACTTGTAACATTCTAAACATATATAAGATGCATGCCAACGAAATTGATTGGATAAAATGCCTCATATGTCAGGGAACACTTGCTAATGACAAGAAATTGCAGTGAAGAGGTTGTCAAATAGCTCTTGACAAGGCGTCCAAGAATTTAAGAACGAGGTTGCATTGGTAGCCAAACTTCAACATAGAAACCTTGTTAGGCTTCTGGGATTTGTTTGGAAGGAGAGGAAACCCTACTTGTGTATGAATATGTGCCAAACAAAAGTCTTGATTATTTTCTTTTTGGTAAGGGTACATCATTCTGAATAAATTTAGTAATTTTGAACTTAGATACAATATTATTGTACATATTTTGGTATGGCAAGTACAATGAAGCAGCGGCGGACGAACCAAGCGGCAAAAAATATATCCTTCTCCACTTCTCCTCTTGTTTATTCTCTTTGATTCTCCTTTCATTTATTTCATGTCTATAAACATTATGTTTCTATGGCTTGGTTGGTTGTGCAGGTGAGAATGACATTATGTTTCTATGCTAAATTCTAGCATTATTGTGAAAATAAATTGAATCTAACCAACTTTTTTCTTTTTACACTTATCTTTGATGGAGGAGAGTAATCAAAATGCTAAATTATAGGAAATTTGTTACAATGTAATGTGCATATAGCATCAAAATTATGACAAAAAAAAAAGTTTAATCAAATCACCAAAAGACATAGATGTTTAATCTAGAAAATTCAAAGTTAAGGCGTCTATATTAAAAGATCCCTTTTCTTTTTGTAGGTTTGAAGACATTGGAGGGACAGGACACCATTATAATTGCTGGCGTAAATCTAAGAGATTCATATTCAAGAAGTGAAGTAATTAGATGTATCCATATTGGGTTACTCTGTGTTCAGGAAGATCCGGATATAAGAACGAAAATGCAATACATACTTCTCATGCTAAGCAGTTACTCTTTGAGAATGCCATCACCTCAAAAGCCAGCATATTTCTTGCACAGTAGGACAGATCCGAACATGCCATCAATGACTTGTAGCTCATCTGATCAACCTGCTAGCAACTCATTGTCATTATCCGTTAATGAAGCATCGATTTCGGAACTATACCCTCGATAGTAAATCGAGCAAAGTGTGATCAATCCTGCAGGATCGAAGTTCAGAAGTTTTGAGATTTGTGTTGATTTTGCTAGCCTTTTAGGCATTGTATTTTTTATAGTGCTTGCTAGAATAAGCCTAAACTTTGAAATTGCACTCAAAGTTTGATCGGTTTGAAAATTCCTATATAAAACTTAATTAGACCTATTTTGTGAAATTTCCTTTGAAGGTTGTTAAATGATGTACGACATGTCGGAGATTTGTAAGCCCCCAGATTTCACATCTAAACTCCGTTAGTATTTTTTTTTGATAAATTACATTTTACCCTAATAAATTTGGAGTTAATTACAACTTTTTACAACATCTTTAAAATATTTCAATCTCATAAGCTTACTACTATTTCATTAACTGTTACTATTTCGGTCAATCATTCTGTTATTTACTTACGTGGCCATATGGGACCTACAAAATTTGTGCCACGCGGATAAAAACAAATAAAATAATTTTTAATTATAAAATGCACACCCTCTCCATCGTCTTTCTTGCTTCTTGCAAGAACCCAGTTCCATCATTGCCGCCGCAACACTCTCTCCCTCTCACTCTCATCCAACACCTTCTCAGACCTTCACACACTCCCTAAACCATGAAAGTATCTTCATTTTCCCCTCCTCCTTCTTCCCCCCCTGTCTCCTCTTCTTCTCTCTCCAAACCTCCATAACTCTCTGCTCTTCTCCCTCTCCCCCTGCAAACCCCTTAATCCCCTAATCCAATTTCCGAATCAGCCTATGCCCGCCACCGAAAATATGAAAAGAAAAAATGAAAATTACATTTATGGCTTTGGACCTTCTCTCTTCCATCTTCTTTCAATCTCTTGAATCTCTCTGGAAAACAAGAATTCTTCCTTCAATTTAGATTCAAATTGATTGAGAGATTGGGGCTGGGTTTTGGGTGTCTGCGATGGAGTTTCCGGTCGGGCCTTCAAGAATAAGAAATGGCTGGTTATGGTAATGGTGGTAGCCTTCATTTGGTGCAGGTGGTGGCGCGAAGAGGTCTTTTCGGCAGAGGTGGGGTGGATGGTGGAAATGGGGTACTGCGTTTTGGATTCTGGGTTGTGGGTTCTGAATTTATTCGTTAACTCGAGCTTCTTGTCCCACTTCGGGTTCAGATCTTGCTGCTTCGTCTTCGTCCTCTGCCGTTGCCCGTTGAAGCAGGAAGTTGTCCAGATCGTAATAGTTGTTGAGCTTTAATTAGTTAATTAGGAGATAATTTGATTAATCAAACTAGCCAGGCATATTAAGTTAACAGCATCTTGACGGAGAAAGGTAGAGACAGTCAGGTAGCCAGGCAATGCCTTGTCCATCCGTGAGCAAAATTTTTGCATATAAAAAAACCATGATAGGCCAAATTCAACATCAAACCAGCCCAATAAGACTGACTCAAGCAATTAGTTTCCGATTTTGCGGTTGACGGCAAGTCTTTGCCTATTTAATCTTTCCTCCCTTTCTTGATCTCTCCGTCTATTCTCCATTATCATTTTTTTATTTCAATTCAATTCCATTTCTACCATTTTTGCAATTGAATCAGTCGAATCTCTTTCTCTCCCTCTCTCTCGATCTCTCCACCCGATCTCTGTTTTCATACCGTTCGACAGTTTGAGCCTTGGGGTGCCTAAGCAGATAATACAAAGCAGCTTCCACCATTGCAGAAGAGAAGTGAGCAGCCATGGGCAAGTTGGGCAAGTTGAATTATGGTACAAAAATATGAAACTTTGACACGAACATCCTCGGATTGGAATCATTTCAAAATTCGTCTGTTCGATCACTTGCTCAAGAGAATGTTCTGTATTGAAAATATTATTCAAAGTATTAAAATCTCACCAAATAATCAATAAATTATAACTAAAAATAAGATAAAATATATAGTATAATATCGACTCGTCAAATTCCAAGTTCAAACAAAAGGAAAACTTTCAAGAGTATGCTCTCTATATATAATTTAAGGTAAATTACATAAAATTACCTCAATTACGAGTCAAACCATAATCTCATATCTTATATTTTTAAAATTACAATGTCATACCTCAACTTATAAATTCGTTGCAATGTTAGACATTCGTTAAATTTTCTATTAAATTGGCTATTAAATGATAATGTGGCAAGAGCGGGATCCATTTATTTGCTAAATTGAAATAAAAAATTAATTAACTAATAATAAATTAAGAATTTTTATTTGACAATTAATAAATTAAAATTTTTTTTATTTGACAATTAACAGATTAAGAATTTTCATTTAACAATTAAAAATTAATTAATTAAAAAAAATTCATCAGACCCCAACTTCACCCCCTTCGCCTATCCCCAGGACCCTATCTCCCTCCCCCCATTCCCAGAATCCCATCTTCCTCATCCCGCCGCCACCAACTGTCCTCGTATTCTCTTTCTCCAACTCATCTTCACTCAGTTCTCTGCTTTTTTTTCTTTAACTCATCTTACTCTCTTCCCTCAACTCATATGCACTCTCCTTCCTCCACTTGCAGTGAAACTTTGATTTTTCCCAGGAGAAGCTCGACGTCTGCAGAAACAAACTCGGTGGGGAAAGGGACTGTTGTGCCCACTCACTCTCCTTCTCTTTCTTCCATTCTTCCCTTCCTCCTGGGCCTTTTCAATTCGAGCAAAAAAGTAGCAATCAAACTCATCAAATTGGTGTGTGTGTGGGTTGGGGGGGGGGGTGTTGGTGGAGATCAGCGAATCGACGGTGGGATGGACGAAATCCCAACGAATCGACTCTAGGAGCAAATCCGGATCCGCAAGAGAGATTAGGTTTTATTGTGCACTTTCTCAGATGTTATTTTTCTGGTTTTTTTTGGACGAAATCCATGGAATCATCTTACTTCCCTCAACTCATCTTCATCAATAGAGGGAGAAGAAAATTATAAATCTGGGTTTAAGTAGCCCAACTCTTCAATTGTGACCATTTTTCCAGTCTGTAAAGCTTCAGTTTCTCTTGCCTGATTAGAGGGAGGGAGTATTGTAACTGGGTGAGGCAAGCCAGAAAACTTGCAACAGTTTTGAGAAAAGAACAGCTATTTTTCTTTTAATAATTGTAGATGATTTTGATTGTATGATAATAAATAAACTTACACTGTTTTATATGTATTTAATTCTGGAATTTTTGGATCAACAAAGAAAAGTGTTGCACCGGTGCCCTTGAGGATGCTTTCTGTATTAAAAAAAAAAGGAAAAAAAAAAGAAAAAAGAAGACAAAAAGGAAAATGAAAATAGAAAAAAGGAAAAAAGATGTATCGGTTGACATTGTAAGCAGTTATGTAAATGACTAATCCAAACCTATACTGATTTTTAAAGAACAAAATTAAAAGACATCGAACAAAACATATGTATGAACACTATGTTGTTCAAAGACTACATAACAACATAACAATTTTTATTTTCACAGATCAAAATATTTATGTTATAAACGTGCAGGTTAGCTGTACTTGTTTTTAAAAATAGTTGAAAACTCAATAAAACTATATAACACTGTCTAGGAAAAACAGGAAAACAAAATTTGAAAACTAATCAGGCATGTAAACATCTGGAAGAAAGAATAGCAAAAAAATGATTTCTTGATTGAAATACATACCTCCAAATAGCTTGACTTTCAAGTTCGTAAAAACAATAATTCTTGCTTCAGGCAGTGAATCGAACGATAAAGAAGTAAAGTTGTGTGCAATGTCTAACCATAATGTAATCTTAGCTTCGTCTTTCCTGCCAAATAAAATGATCAAACAAAGGTAATGAAAAAGTGATTAAAATGTCACAGAATTTTTTATCCAAAATAGATTAAATTTTTTTTAAGAAAAGTATATGAGTGCCTAATGTGATAAGAAGCCAAAACAACAGTTTGGATATCGACGATATACATAGTATTGATGCAGAAAACAATAAAAAAGTGTGTTGTGCAGAGGAAATAACCTGATATTTTGAATAACCACATCACACTTGTGATCAATTCTTTGGTTCACTTTTACGGGCTCCAAACGCTGGACTCCAACCGCATGACCAATAACATCTGCAAATTTGAAAAAAGAAAGAAAACCAAAACATAATTAGGCGAGGACAAAATGTTTCATAAAACATGTATCAATGCACTGTAACACACAGCTATACATACATGTGTACATATTTATTACCTTTTAGGATATCAGTCCTGTTCAGCCTAGGATACAATCTATTATAATCTTGCAAAAAAAAATCTGTGACGTAGAATAAGCGGAAACACACTTGTCAACTTATTAAAAACTGTTCTGCTGGTTAACACGATATAGATGTCATACGGACTACTCAATATTGGCCTCTCATTCTGTTGGTACGAAAATTCATAATCTCGTAGCAAGCACCTGCTTCAATTTTTGAGACTATTATATCATAGTCCATTTCGTCAGAAGACGCTTCTATGGCTTGTTCCTTGATAACCAAACATTGCGAAAGGAAGAAAAAGAAATTGTCAAAGATATCATGAATAGGTAACTAACACTGAATTTGAAACTTAAAATAATATGAAAACATTATAGACTAAGATGAATACTAAATACTGAAAGCCAAGTTATCATTGTAATTAACAATTTAAAGGCAATGGATACCCATAAAAAAATTACATGTCACATCGACTTAACATGAGAGTTCATATATTTAATACTTGAAATAATATGAAAATAAATGTAAATCACAAATATTAGAGAATAAAATGGATAGTAAACATCAAGAGTGAATTTATTAGTTTAATTAACAGGTTAAAGACAATGCATATGCACCCAAAAAAAAAGTTCTTGTCACATAGAGCCAGGATGATAACTAACATGTAATTTTTCGATAGAAAATGAAAGAATACAGAGATTAGAAATGAATTGGAGATTATATTTATCCTAGAGAGTAAAAATGTCATGTGATGTGTATTAGAACAAATATAAAATTCTTAACACGTGCTGTTAAGAGCTTATCAAATAGTATTATTAAAGATTGTTTACTGACCCTTTCATCAACTAATACACAGTATAGACCTGCATATTTATCACTCATGCCTGAAAATCTTGGTCTCGATATTCTGCAGATACGAACTTTAATTTTTTCCAATTTTTTAATATGCGACCAATCGATCAAGAGGAGTTGGACCTCGATCTTCCATTTTAAACTGCTGAAATAAGATTCAAGGTTTGTGAATTGACAAATAATGCAGAAAGAATTTTCAAAGAGGCTGAACAATAATGTAACAACTACACTTCCAAAACTATAGACCTATAACAGTTTGTTTAAAAGCGTAACTGATTAAAAGAATGAGATTGCCAAAAGAAAAGACAGCATGACCACTGCTTAACCGAAAGAAATATCAATTGAACACTGCGAGGAAGGCATCAACTATATTGCCATTCACATACACTGCCAATAAACAATGACATCCTCAACCATCAATGTATATGTGCATAAATAACATAATAAAAAATCGAAAGACCAAAACACATCGCCACCATACTGTCAAAACGAAAGTAAAACAAATAGTGTAAAATAATCAAAATGCAACAAACCGAGGAAACAAACAGGCAAAAATAATGAAAACCCAATTGAACAAACCTAAGCACAACACCCAAATCAGTTGATATACCGTAGTTACTGGATCTAATACCTGAGAGAGAAGCTGAGCACTGACAGTGCAAACCTTGAGTAGAACACCCTTCAAACGCTGCAAAACAACCATAAAAAAATAAAAAAAAAAATAAAACATCACGGCTTGCTAAAACACTGACCAAAAATAATCAAATCAAACATCCGTAGCTACAATGAAAGATAATCTCTCAAAATATAAACATCATATTTGAGAATAGTATGAAATTAGATATGAAACCTTTATTCATCAAAAATGAAAAGCGCACTTTTCACAGATTTTCTTTTTCGTTTATAAGATTGATCACTTAATTCAGGTGTTCAGAACGATTCAAAAACAAAAGAAAAGGACTGGCAAGAGCGGGAGAAGCAAATAAAGACAACGAAGAAAGAAGACGACTGCCAAAAGGGGGAGAAGCAAAGAAAAACAACAAAGACAAATTCAAAAGAAAACGGAAGAAAGAAGGACAAAAGTAGAGATACTACCTTGTGGCGATGACTGACACGTGGGCGGGTATAAATTTTTATTGTTTGTTGAGCCACAAATTATTTGTCCCAGTTTTAATCACATTTTTTTAATTTTCTTTTTTGTCTTCCCATCAGATATACATGGGTTAAAAAGTTAATAAGGTATAAAAATTTTAGATGAGTGTTATCTACACACCTTATTTTACTTTTCACATCCCTTGATAATTTATATCAATAGATGTTCTTCAATTCATCCGATGGTTAGTTGAAAATTAAAAAGATGTGTGAAAGTAAAATAGCATATGTGGATATCACATCTCAATTTTTATTGTTTGTTATCACAGAAAAATTAAAACAAAATGTACAATAATAAATTATACATATCAAACCATGTGGCATGATATAAGTCGTATTTTTTAAATAATTTTTTGTCAGTTTTTTATTAATTATTTTATCTTTCTTTGTGCCACAACTCGACAATCATAAACACGCAACTTGGGAGGACAAAAGATAATCAACACGTGGCAATCATGGGCAATATAGGTATCTCACTGTGTGAAGCAGATGGCAAAACAGTAATGGAACGAAAAAATCAGGGGCATTTCTGTCATTTTACTATTGCTGAACAGTGCTAAAACTCAATTGAGTTTTAGTATACATAAATTTTTATCACATTTTTTAATATTTTGTTTTTGTCTTTTATAAGTTTTTATTGTTTGTTTTGCCGCAAAGCCGGTACAAATTGCTATTGTTTATTGTGCCATGTCACATTTTTTAATTTTTTTGGTCTTGCCACAGCATCTTTATCACATTTTTAATTTTTTATTCCATTTCAGCTGAAACCTAAACCCTAAATAGGCACAAATGTTCAATTCTTATAGATAAGCATCACCAACAGTGTATGCATACTACGGGCCAACTGATCCCGTTGACCAACACATGGAACCAACACGCGGCAGCAGATAAAAGTGGAAGAAGTTGGAACCCTAGAAAACACAGCACGCACGCACAGACAGAAAGAAAAATGAGAGAGGGGCAAAATGGCCAATTCACCATTCAACCCCACTAAATCTGAAAAAACATGAAGAGAAAGAGGGGCAAAACCGGTGGAGCAATGTTAATAAATAGTAGTTTTCCATCGGGTTTTAGCATATAGATAATATTATTGTTGAAAATTCATGTTTAATATACTATGTTGTACCCTTTTGGCACTTACGTCTCCATCGTATCATAGGTTATAATAAATTTATACTTAATTCTTGCGAAATTTTATATTCATCCCGTTCGTTTACGTTTCTTCAACGAATTTGACTGACATAGTGACATATCTAGTGAGATACTTTTCCACAGACAAGAATTGTTTGCCCTTCATATTCCATGTTTTTCTGTTTTGTGTGATCACGGTTAAGTAACGTTAATATTTTATATTATTTTTTTATAGAGATACTAAGAGAAAAATAAATAATAATATAAAATATTAACATAACTTAATCGTGACCACACAAATAAAAGAACATTGAAGAACATCGGAAGTAGGAGGGCATTGTCCCTTTTCCACACGGAAAATTAAAGTTGTTTGACTTTAGAGTATTTGACAAAGACTATCTGCCGTGACTTTTCAGATTGTAACGTTCCAATTATTTTTTCCTACATTGCAATTTTTATTTTTCACCAATATGAATTTGGCAAATAATATGTATGTTGTTTTCTTAGGCAAATGTTCGCGGTTATTTTAAAGTACAAACATGCAATGGCGGAATTAATATAGAGTCGTTGCCTCATTGGTTGCCTATGATTCCAACAATTTTAAAATATTTATGTATATTTGACTTTGTATTTGTATTTGTATTTGACCATTATAAACAGTTATGACAAACTAAATCATAATTTTTTCTTTTTAATTTTTTTTCTTTTATCATCTATATCTTCTTATATGCGATTCTCTGGTGTGAATCAAATGCTCGATAAAATGTTTTTGTTGACAAGCCTTGGGAGTCTTCAACATTACTCGACAGTTTTCTACAACTGCCCTTAACAATCCTCTAATGATCATAGTAATTGTTGACATACGTTCGCGTAAGCTTTTGGCAAATGTTGGTAGGAATCGACAAGTGCCCATTAGGTGCTCAACGAAATTGTCCATTGAATTTTTATTTTTATTTTTAAAATTAAGACCCTATTATATGAAAATTCTAAGTCAGCCACCGCAAACATATGTATAATACGAATATCTAGAAATAAATTATCACATGATGTATGTATGAGGGAAAATAGCATAATAGTGTAGTGGTCCCATTAAGTGGGGCTACATCTCGCAAATGGCCAAATGTAACACTCAATGCGCCATGAGGACAAGATAAAATAACTATAAAGGATGTCATTCTGATGATTTTTCAACTCAATAATGCATTGTCCTATATTTTAAGTTTTTAACTTTTTTACATGACGATAAATGAGATATTACTATAGTAAATCCCATTATGTCTTACTCTTGAAGTTTAAGGAACTTCTAACATCCTCGTGGGTAATAATCAAAAAAAAAAAATTCAGGACTTTTTTGTTCCTTGATGCTAGAAAACAATCCTCAGAAAAATCCCCACCAATCTGGAATTTCCCATACATAACTGGCGTCAAACTCTACCACTCCCGTCCCCATTGCATTTTTTCTTTGCTTCAAACTACTACTATTTTTTTTCTCTCTCCCTTCGTTGAGATAGCTTCAACACCAACTCACATTTAATATGACACAACAAACAATAAAAGTTGGCAATTTAGGTCGGCTTAATCAAATTGGTTAATGTTTTCTTGGTTGCATAATTTAAATTAAATTAATCGATAAATTACATAAAATTATTTTAACCATTATTTCATACCTCATATTTTAAAATTTACAATGTCATATCTTATTTTATGAATTTGTTGCAATATCAGACATTTGTTAATTTTTTCATCAATTTATCTGTTAAATACTGACGTGGCTTGAAGCAGGCCTACTACCTACCCCAACTAGATTAAAAAAATAATTAAGTATTAAATTAAAAACAAAATCGTTTAAATAAAAAATATGGGACCCGCTCCCTAAAACCCATCTGGGTTCTACATCTCTCCCAGAACCCTAACCCGATCAACATCCAGTTCCTTGGGGTTCGCCATGGAGAAAGGACCTAGATACAGAGCCTACGCGGAACTCAGAAAATCGCGGCTAAGGAGGAAGTACATGATCCCAGAACAGCTCGAAGAACCCGAATCGAAATCGACCCCATTGAAGAAACAAGTCAAATTTAAGACCCATCTGACCAATTCGTGAAAAGGGTCTTCCGTTCTCGCTCGATCGGTGCCTAACTTCTCAGCCGTGTTGCGAAAAGAGAACCGCAAGCCGCCGTCCAGGCTTCCGTCGATGCAGGAGATGACCATGCCGGCAAAGAGTTGGCGAAAGCAGCGTACGGGATATTGTCGAATTAGAGAGGGAGTAAGTCGGTGAGCGCGGGGGAGAAGAGGTACAACAATTGCGAAGGGGTCATGGCGAGGAAGAGCTACGCGAGTATGGAGGAGTTGAAGGGTTTGTCGTCAATGGCAATGGTGGAAGGGAATGCCAATGGCAATGGCAGAGCAATACCAAGGACTCTTTTGGGATACAGACAGTTCTGAAAGTTTGGTTCTTTTGGGGGGGGGGTTTTCTCTATTCATTCTTTCTTGGCTGAATATTTGTTTGATGTTTTATTGCCTGGGAATTTGATTACCATTTATAATTCTTTGGTTTTTTTATTTGTTCGGAATGTAACTGGTAAATGATAAAGTTTGATGAATTGTTTCAACTCCTGGATGCATTCTTTTCCTCTTTGATTTTGATGTTAGTGCAAATGCTCTGTGCCATGGTTGTGCTGGTCAAGGTAGGCGGCCGGTGATGGGGCAGAAGGTGGAATGAGGAAGAAAGGTGAGGGTGACGGATCCCACAATTTTTTTTATTTTTTAATATTTAATTAATTTTTAATTCAAAGTAGGCTCACCTCAAGCCACGTCAGCATTTAACAGAGAAATTAACAGAAAAACTGATAGAAATCTAATATTGCAACAAATTCATAAGATGAGGTATGATATTGTAACCTTCAAGATATGAGGTATGAGATTGTATTTCGATCTATAATTAAGTTAGTTTTGTGTATACCCTAAATTAATTTAGATTATCACTTATAAAATAGAAATGTAAACTTGTCAACATGAAGCGGTAATTACTTTTTAGATAATGTTGGGAGCTTTTAAATTTTAAATTAAATTTTCAAATAAAATAATATATCATCAATAAAAATATAAGTACATTAATAAATTTAATTCAATCGTAAAATCTACCAGTAGGATCACTCTTGCTTTTTCTACCAATAAACAACATAACAATTGGTCAGTGAACAGAATAGCGCAACTTTTGAACAAGTTTCAGGCACTTATTGGAGGTTGATGGCTTGTATGAGAGGAACTCTTCTGATTAACACTCAAAACTGAAACGTCTTGCTACCACCCCTGCATTGCTCTTGTTAATACTCAGTACAAAAACCTATGATGTTACGATGAATCACCAAAAAATGAAAAGCATGACTACCCTTCTTTTGATTTTTTCCATTTTTACTCTGCCCAGCTTTCTGACCAAAACGGAAGCAGATTATCTCTACCACATCTGCCCAAACACCACCACCTTCACCCCAAACTCCACCTTCCAGTCCAACGTCAACCGCCTCCTCTCCACCCTCTCCTCCAACGCCAACCGCTCCACCGGCTTCTACAACGCCACAGTCCAAACCCCAAACAACGCCGTCTATGGCCTCTTCCTCTGCCGCGGCGACGTCGTGGGCACCGACGCTTGCGAAACCTGTGTCGCCACCGCAACCGCCCAGGCCCCAGAACTCTGCCCAGTAGAAAAACAGGCTGTGATCTGGTACGACGACTGCATGCTACGCTACTCCAACGAGTCATTCTTTTCCACCTCGGCCGAATCGCCTC